AATACGTTAAGTATTTGGGCGGGGGGGGGTTGATGTTTTGAGGGGCCCTAAAAATCGATTTTGCCGAATCTTTCAAGCCGTTTTTATAGGTTCTGTGTTCGTACTCCATCTATTTTTCTTTCAGCACTTCAGATATTTCATCCATCCTCCCTGGACACAACTGACCTCTACACCTCCACCAGGTATGGTCTCGGTTTACCGGAAGGTCCTCTCGAGTTGAAGTCAGGTGACGGTCTGCCCTTGGAGACAAATGCGGATTTCCTGGGAGCCGTTAGTTTCACAAAGGGCTGCTACGTTGGTCAGGAACTGACCACTCGAACACACTTCACTGGCGTTATTAGGCGACGTTTGCTGCCCATCGTGGTTGCCTCGCCCGTCGATGCTGGCCAGTGAGTTTCGTGTATTATTATTGGTAGACACGTTTGAGGACGCTAAATCTGGTTCCTGCCTATCTACTTCCTACTTTCCGTTAAAACCAAACCTAAGGAGGGCTAAGGTCGCTGCAGTAATTGCCGTGGTTGGGGAGGTATTAAGGGCTTAAAGCCCGATTCCGAACGGGCACGGTCTGTACTAACCTTTCTTCAGGTATAAAATTTGAGGAAGACGTACTTTGCTGCCAAATTAAAACAGGAAAGGAGATTTTTGTGCATTTCTACTATAAAGTATCGGTAAAGAAGACAGATGATCGAACACCGGAACGATGTGTATTTTATTCTGAGCTTTCGGACTCTTACCGGAGTCCATCGTCAGAGATGGGAAGCAACAACAAAAGAGTGGCTAGTTATAGCCTGTCAACAAACAGTTAAAATTTGAAGGTGTAAGATTTAGATAACTGTGAGGTTTGGTCGCCAAATGGCCACGTCAGCACCGAAACTGTGGCGATTATGGAGGATGTGGGGCCACTTAATTATGACGGGCATCTGGCTGTAATCGTATGTAGGAGCGCAAGGCTCTGCACGCCGGCGCCAATTGAACACATCAGTTGACAAGATTCTCGTCCGTGGACCAGGCTTCGATAAATTCTCTGTTCGTCTTGTTTTCCACGTGGGCGAGTACCTTGACGGCAGTGAAGTTTAACTCATGGCCTGTTTTGTAGGTGTGAGCTGCAACTTGTGATAATTCGTCGCCTTGTCGCACGGCCAACTTGTGTTCATGTATGCACGATCCGAGATGCGTTCAGCTTGGCCTGTGTAATTACAGGGACAGCTTAGGCACGGGATGCGATACACTACT